TAGGTAGTAGTAGGTAGTAGTAGGTAGTAGTAGGTAGTAGTAGGTAGCAGTAGGTAGGAGTAGGTAGTAGTAGCTAGTAGTGGTTAGTAGTGGTTAGTAGTGGTTAGTAGTGAATGGTAGTGGTTAGTAGTAGTTAGTAGTGGTTAGTAGTAGTTAGTGTAGTTAGTAGTAGTTAGTAGTAGTTAGTAGTAGTTAGTAGTTAGTAGTTAGTAGTTAGTAGTTAGTAGGTGGTAGGTAGTAGGTAGTAGGTAGTAGGTGGTAGGTGGTAGGTGGTAGGTGGTAGGTAGTAGGTAGTAGGTAGTAGGTAGTAGGTAGTAGGTAGTAGGTAGTAGGTAGTAGGTAGTAGGTAGTAGGTAGTAGTAGTAGTAGTAGTAGTAGTAGCGGTAATAGGAGGGATGTGTTTGTGAGTGTGTTTGTGGTTGTGCTTGTGGTTGCGTCTTTGTCATTGTGGCTGTGGTTGTGTTTGTGGTTGCGCGCTTGTCATGGCGCGTTTGTGATTGCGGCGTTGTTTTGGTTTGTGGTTGTGTGTTTGCGATGGCGTTTGCGGTTGGGTGCTTGTGGTTGTGTTTGCGGTCGCGTTTGTGGTTGTGTCTTTGCGATTGTGTGTTTGTGATTGCGCGTTTGCGGTTGTGTGTTTGTGATTGCGTTTGCGATTGCGTTTGCCGTTGTGTGTTTGTGGTTGCGTGCGCGATTGCGTTTGCGGTGGTGCTTGTGGTTGTGTGTTTGTGATTGCGTTTGTGGTTGCGTGTTTGTGATTGCGTTGGTGGCTGTGCGTTTGTGATTGTGTGTTTGTGGTTGTGTGTTTGCGCTTGTTTTTGCGATTGTGTTTGCGCTTGTGCGTTTGTGTTTGCGTTTGTGATTGCGTTTGTGGTTGCACTTGTGGTTATGCGTTTGCGATGGTGTTTGGGGTTGGGTGTTTGTGGTTGTGTTTGTGGTTGTGTGTTGCGTGTTTGCGATTGTGTGTTTGTGGTTGTGTGTTTGTGGTTGTATTTGCGATTGCGTTTGTGGTTGCGTTTGCGATTGCGTTTGTGGTTGCGTTTGTGATTGTGTTTGTGAATACCTAGCACTAATGGTTGAAATTTCCGAATATTAACTGGAGATCCCTCAGTCATTGAAAACCATAATTAAATCAGAAGTCAATGAGTTCTGAGGTCCAGCCAACTCAATGAGCTGCCATGTAATTAATCAAAAGAGCCTCAAACATACAGTTTAATTTTCTAAACTAAATGACTTGGTGGTGAGAAGAGACAGATCGCTATTTAACTTTCTATGTTTAAAAAACCAGAGCTCATCAGCTACTTTGATTTAATTTGGAAAATAAATTGTCCTTTGGTGGGCGTTCTGAACTACCTTTGGTTTAATTAATTGGCTGATTTCTGCACAAACTAAACAAGGGGTAGTCTAACCCATGCAACCGGCTATTTAATTTCTTGACCTGGCCACTTGAAGACCCAGGCTGTCCTATTTTTAGTTCTTTCTTAATTTAATAGCCTCCAACCTAACAGCGAAGGCCTCCACCTAGCTAGTATTAATGGCCTCCAACCTAATAACGGTAGCCCCGACCTAGAAGTTTCTTGCTGCTTGTAGTTATGGCCTCCGACCTAATGGCATCTAATGACCGGGTCTGCGTGCGTTTTTTGGATGTTCTTTGCTAAAGAGGTGGCTGACAGCACGAAAGTCTGCATTTCCACGCGCAATCAATAGCGATGGCCTCCACCTTGTAGCTTCTTGCTACCAGTACCCTGGTCGTTCGCGCGATCCAAAATAATCAAGACAGACGAACATCAAGCATGATCAAGCCAGATCTTGTTTAGTATTTTTGAGCGTTCGCCTCAAAGCCTATCCCCACGCGTAGCGTTCTGGCGCGCTCCGCTGCAGGCTTTCTAATTGTCGCACAGTTGATTTTCAACTTCCAACCCGCACTCCACAGAACTGAAGAGGCTAAAATGAAGTTATATTTAATTGATTGAAGCTGATTGAAGCTGCCCATCATGACCACACGCTTACAACATCTGACAAATTTAACAACTTAACATAATTTGATCAAATTTAGGGCTCATGTTTGGGGCGCATGAGCTTGGCACTCTTTGAGTACCAAATGGCCAAAACCCAACCTTCTCCTCAGAAGGCAGAGACTTCCAAAATGTAGAGCCTCTGGAAAACTTTTTGTTAAAGTACCCGGGGACTCGGAGCATCAACTCAGACCACTTTCAAGTTTGCCCTTGGCCAAGTTTGACCGAACCACTCTTCTTCTCCAACTTCCCATGAAACTCTTCGAAATCCTGTTTCATGAGCTCAATGAAACGGACCTGGCGTTTCCGACCTTGTGTAGTATTGGCCAAATCCAACTCAGTGATGTAGAATTTGGCTGCAGGCTTCTCTGCGGCGTCCTTGTTCAGAGGCACGGCATTCTTGCCAACTTTGGTAAAAGTTTTCACGACATCCCGCAAAACTCTGAAGCGCACCTGATGGAAGCAAGCGTGGCTTGAACGCGCAGTCTAAAACATAATACAAAAACAACAAATAGACCTAAGGTGTTCATGGCCTGGGGTTGATGTCGAAACGTCGTCACCCCCCGCCGAACAAATCACCACGCTGCAGCCCATGGCAACCAAGCATGTGAACATGGCCGCGCGGCAAGCTGTCTGGGAAAACATGGGAAGTCGAAGTCGATTTCGAACACACACAACTACTTTTCGAGGCGGTGAATCACAAGCGTTGGTCTCATCCGGTCCGACCATAGCCTTGGACACACAGCGTCCATCGTCACCAAGAACACCGAACGTTAGAGGAAGCCTTGTTGAGAAACATGACCTTCACATAAATACATATACATAAATCCTACGCACGCCAAATGAGTCTAGGAATGGTTAAAATCCGCGGGGAGCAGTGGTGGGCGCAAACCGTGGCGGTGGTGTAAACGGTGGTATGTACCTTTCGTATCCTCTCGTGATGTGGGGATGTTCTGAGTATGAACAGGCGACAAAAGTTCAAACCTGAAACCCCTGGCGGCTTGCAGCCAACACACTTGATGACGCAGCATTCTTAGAAGTGCTTGGTCCATATTCAAGAGCCCCTTTACCTAGGCAGCGGCAGCAGGCAACACACCGGCTGGCGAATGAACTTGCTGATACAGATGAAAGGCCTTGAATAGAAACGGTGATTGAAAAACAACGGTGGTTGACAAATAGAAAGGCGTCTGCGCGCGCGCCCCAAACGTGTTTCATATGAAGTCTCGGGGGCACGCGCGCGCGAAGCATGCGAAAGGATCAACAACCATAACAACATGGAAAACATATCAAAATTCCAAAACTAAAAACCTGGTTTGGAGAAGAGGCCTACTTTTGTTACGCGGTTCTTGCAGCAAGGCAAGGCACAATAAGAAAGCTCCACTGCAGGCGGCGTTGGTACCATAGCACCTGAAAAGAAAATTGATAGGAAACCATTGAGAATCATCTTGGTGGTAAAATAAACAGCGCCTCCCTTTGAACTTACCCACCAGCTATTTACTTAATTTGAGGTCATGAAACGTGCACAGTAGTTTTTGATCATAGTTTATTACTTTTGCATAGTGATGACCGACAACTAATATCCAAAATGATTTTATTTAAAGATGACTCATATTGAACCAACTTGATTCATCATATTCATGATAGTCCAGCCCAGCTCTTCCGCCCAGGAGCTTGATTCTTCCTGCTTCTTACGTCTCTCTGCCACTTCCTAGGCTTGAAACACGCTGAAATTTTTTGAAATGATATGAAATGATGCTGCAGTAAATCTCCAAAATTGGTCAAAATTAATCAATGTGACAGTGACCCCATTGTGAAACTCGATCCTTTGGAGTTTGGAACCCAGCCCACAAAATTTGAAAACACGATTGGGCAGCAAATTGGGCATCAAACATTTGGGGCGCTTCAATGTGGGACCCCGAACGCTCTTCGACCAAAAAGCACCAAGCGACATCAGCCTGGGCATCGCCTTCTGCAGCGGCTCCGGCCGAATTGGCCCCATCCTGAAGAACGTGGCTTGCCAGAGTTGTTGGGTGAGCGACGTTGCAAAGCTATCCATCTGTGCAAACTGGTGGTTGTGGGCCCCGCCTGGGTTGACCAGCCAACCTGGGAACCTTTCCTTTCTTTGGGTGGGGGGCGCCTCTTCAATTCTTCACTGGTATGACCCGCAAGGCCCCCAGAGTAAATGCCACATACCCGAAAAACAACATCAATGCAATCCGATCTATTTGCACGGGTCGTTGGGACTCGGGCCACACAAAGTGGGCACCCTCGACCTTGCACTCGGGAGGGTTTCCCCACCACCTTTCCAGATGTGTAGGTTCCGACCAAGAAGGTGTTGAAATGAAGACTTTTAAGTAAGCAAAGTAAATAAAAAAATGAACACTCCCCAAGTTTTTTTCTTCGGTGTATATTTAGTTATTTGAAAAACGAATTTTTTCATATTTAGAGGAGAGTCCAAAGAGTTTAAAGGGGAATGTGTAGAATTAGGTAAGGGATGGTAAGGGATGCGCAAGTCTGCTTGGTGGAAGCTGTATCCTGCAAGGGGGTGACCAAACAATCAAAAAATAGTCCATGTCGGAAGGGGCTTAAAGAGGTAGGTAATCGATTTATTTGTGAGGTTTTAGGGTTAACTGATTCAGGCGGTCTTCAAGTATTATGGATTTTGAGTGTAAGTTTCGGGGGAAAAGGTGTTGAAATGAAGACCTCTAAGTAAGCAAAGTAGATGAAAAAGACACTTGGAACCCAGATGTGTAGGTTTCGACCAAAAAGGTGTTGAAAGGACGACTTTCAAGTAAGCAAAAAATTAAATAGAAAATGAACACTTCCAAGTTTTTCTATTCTTCGGCGTATATTTAATTAATTGAAAAATGAATCTGCGTCTTTGTCCTTGTGGCTGTGGCTGTGTTTGGGGTTGTGTGCGTGTTTGTGATTGTGGCTGTGGTTGTGTGTTTGTGATGGTGTTTTTGGTTGGGTGTTTGTTGCTGTGTTTGTGGTGTGTGTTTGTGATTGTGTGTTTGTGGCTGTGTGTTTGTGGTTGTGTCTGTGATTGTGCTTGTGGTTGTGTGTTTGTGGTTGCGTTGTGATTGTGTTTGTGGCTGCCCTTGTGGTTGTGTGGTTGTGATTGTGTTTGTGGCTGCGTGCTTGTGATTGTGTTGGTGGTTGTGTGTTTGTGGCTGCGTGTTTGTGATTGTGTTTGTAGTGTGTTTGTGATTGTGTTTGCGGTTGGGTATTTGTGATTGTGTGGCTGTGGTTGTGTGTTGTGGTTGTGTTTGTGGTTGCGTGCTTGTGATTACGTGTTTGTGGTTCTGGAATGTGTTTGTGATTGTGGTTGTGGTTGTGTGCTGTGGTTGAGGTCCAGCAGGGAACACTTGGGCCTGGAGCTCGTGGTTGAGGTCCCGCAGAGAACACTGGGCGTGGATGGTCGCGGTTGAGGTCCGGTGGGGAACACTTGGGTCTGGAGCTCGCGGTTGAGGTCCGGCCGGGAACACTGGGCGTGGATGGTCGCGGTTGATTGAGGTCCGGCGGAGGAGGCGGAGGAGGACGAGGCGGTGGAGGAGGCGGAGGCGGAGGAGGAGACAGGGCTGACGTAAAATCTAACAACCCTCACCTGACAGGTGGGGAATTACACCAGCAGTGATCCTGAAACTGCAGCAGCAACTTGATGTTTCTTTTTGCCACCGAAGCTTGAAGTTTTGGCCACCAGTCTTGAGCCATGGGAAACAAAGGAGACAAAGGTAGACGAAGCAGAATCATCTCAGCCCAGCACGCAGAACATCCAGAAGAGCCATGGCAGGCAAAGGAAGACAAAAGAATACAAAAAGGCAAGAAATCATCTCGGCTCAGGATCGTTTCTATGCAAGAATTGAGAACCCCTCACAGCAAAGCTGTTTGGGCCCTGTTTGGGGAAGAAAGAAAAACATCAATAATATCAAAGAATTCTCTTTAATTCTCTTTAATTATCTCCAGTTCAGTCTCGTCCAGACTCAACACGTGCCTTGTTCGAGCTTCTTAGGCCCCATCTCTTGGCCTCGTAGCACGCCCGTCTACTCGATCGAGCGATGGGATCCGACAGGTCGCTCTCGGCCGAAGAAGGACCGAGAGCGACCAGCGGTGCTCAGGTGGTTCTGAGGGCCACACTAAGTTTTTGAGTCAAGAGGTGCGCATGGACAAGCCTGGCTGGACCGAACCAAGGGGAGGACGGACCCCGAAGAGTTCCAGAAACCAGGTGAAACGATGCAATAAACTCTTTCTGCAGTAGTAACAAGTGCCACGCTAGTAGTAACAAGTGCCTTACTAGTAGTAACAAGAAGCTAGTAGAAACAAGTGCATCGCTTCTAGTAACAAGTGTCTTTCTGCTATCCTGCAAGTTCGACTGGACGCGACCAATCATTGCGATGCATGTCTGTGTGTATAAGAAGAGACCTTGAGTAGCTTCTCGAACATCTTCAATCTACAAATCTACAATGCTATCCTGTTCTCTTTGGCAGGGGACCCTGTGGCGGACAATCAAGAAGGCTGCACAGTAAATTCACTGCCACATCATCCTCAGTCTTGGCCTGAGCAACAAACGGGCAATGTGCGCTTTCATCTGGTTTGGAAGCCAGGCAGTCATGAGGCCACTACAACTGCTGCTGCCCTGTGAAGAGCAGATCGACCCTTTTCCAAATACCACGAAGCGCGCTGCTTCGGTTTCTGCCTGGAGGATTCTTCTTGTGAGCTGGATCAACCGCAAAAAGATACAAAAAGAGTACAACATCATGGCCTTCCATGAGGAAAAGCATTGAGCTTGATCTGCACCTGCTGAGACAGCCACCCAAAATGCTCAACATAGGACACGTTTGAAGAAGTTGGTAGTGTTGCTTCCTGCTAAAATGTCTGCCTCAGCCATGGCCAAGTGCGCTTGAGCTGCGAGGATTGCTGCTTGCCTTGGGTATGAATAGGTTCCTTTCAGGTCTGGACACTGGGGTTTCCTTCTCCAAGTCTGAGTAAGCAGGTTCGACGGCAAATGTGATTGACACACTTGTCCCAAATAAAAGCATCCGATTGATCTGCTGGTGTTGTTTGTGCCCCAATGCATGGTTCTGTAGAACATTCCAGAGTTTAGCTCTCAGGTCACTCAGGTCTCAACCATTCCAAAGGAGGATTGCCTAACAAACTTCCAGAGGACAAGCCTGACACTGATTGGTAACAATGTTCAGGCCCAGGCAATGAAAACGCATGTTGTTTCGTTGTTCTGAGGCTTACCAAACGGGAGATCCAAACACCGAGAGGATTCTGCGACGCACTGCGAGAGGAGATTGTCGGACGCGCCTTCTGGAATTAACTCGGCAGCCTGGCCCAGCCTGACTCTTGCTTCAACATTTTTACACAAGGATCTCCCATCTTTGAAGTCTCAAAATGGGTGAAGTCTCTTACAAGGTGTTTGTGTGTCTGTGCGCGTCTCAAAATTGACTCTTTGTGAAGAAGAGTTTATCTACGTTCTCTACTCTGCGATGATACTCTAACAATCGCAAAGGTGTAAGAAGGTGTTCTCTACTTTTCGAGAGCCTCAACAAAATGATTCCTGAAAACCGGTCCAAAGAGCTCCGCTCTAAGTTGCAAACATCTCAAGCTGTGCTCTGCAGCACTCCTCGATTGACAAGCTCGGTGGCGGCAAGGTCTGCAAGCGGCCCACTGCTGCCTGAAGTCGACCATCGACCCATGCGATGAGCTCCACCCTTCGGCCCTTCAGCCCTGCGCGCGCGCAAGCGGGACCAGGATGGGCCGCCCTTAACCCGGCTTGAAGTTTGAATACTGTGATCACCGGGGGAGCGTCTACACAACTCTTCGTCAATTCTGAAATAACGCCTGTATTGCTCCACTGGCCATCAGATTCAGAACTGCTGCGGCATCAGACTCGACCACTTGGTCCAGGCCTTTAGTGACTTTGCAACTTGCTCAAGGCTTGCACTGCATGATTCGCATCAGCCACTGCCAATGTCACTCATGACGCTTCTGGAATCTACATTTTACAGCATGCTGACTCACGGTTTAACCTTACCAAACCTCATGCGATTTCAAAGCCATAACCTGCCTTGACTTGCCTCAAATGCATGAATTGCAGTACGCTGTCCTCCAAGTTTTGACTGCATTCTGAGTTGCAAACCTTGCAGGGCAGCCTTGAGACGGCACAGGAAGCATTGCTAGTGCCGGGCGCCAAGTCTCCCTTCCCATCCCCAAACTAACACTTGGTATCAGGGTCTGATCAAGAGCAAGGCCATAAGTCAGCAAGCTCAGGGCTGAGCAAAGGTCTCGGAGACCGCTCGATCGCTTAGTCGCCCGATCCAATCCATTGCACTAGCCTGATCGGCCCAACCCTAGTGTTGCTCAGGAACTGCATTACCAGATTTGCAAGCAGCAGCCTTTTGCTTGCAAGCCTGTGGCAGTGGCACAATCTGTGGGGGCCCAACCATGTCTGCGGAGACTTCATCCTCATCACACAAACCTTAGATTCAATGATCCCAGGACGTTTGTCTTGGAGGTACAAGTAAACTCGAGAGTGATACAACCGGAGTGTGAATGAGATTCCAGCACTGTACCACTTCCGCCTCAAAGTCCAAAACGCTTGCAGCTGCACAAAGCAGACTGGAACAAGAAACCTCAATCTGGCTGGACCTCTTCTGGGTTTAGGAAGGTCTCCAAGGTATTCTTCGAAGATCCTTGTCAGGACAGCAAACATTGCTGTTTTGCCGAAGCAGATTCGAGAGAAAGTTTTCCGCTGCTTTGAGGACTCTCATTTGTCCTCTCAACAAACTTGTAAGGCGAGTCGTCTCAATTCTCTCAACACGCAAGAGCGGTGTCCTCTCTGAGCCGCGTGGGCAATCTCATCCTTAGTTTCTGTCGCTGTCCACTGGACGTTTCCGAAAGTGTGGATCTGGAGATGGGTACTGAGTGACCCATCAAACACTACTCTTAGTGGTGCAAATGATGCACACATACTGATGTGCGGATGCTGAGATACATGTTCGGATCTTCAAACAAAAACTTGTGCTAGTATCAACACGAAATGTTGATTGCGATGCAACTGTTAGTACGAACAAGGATGGATTCAAACCACCCAAACAAGTGATCGCTGATTCTTTTCGAAGGACAAGAGTCGTACAGGAGTCGCTGGACCTTCAAAGCTTGGATGATTCTTCGACCGTCCAAGCTCACGCAAAACGTCGCTTGGTGCCCCGTCAGCGGCCACGCCACAAAGGTGCCCCCTGCTGGCTCTCGCCAGTGCAGCAGCAGCCTGGTGCTAATCAGGCAGGTGGGTGCACAAAACCTCTCGAAATGGTACCACACAAGGGAATCCATTGGACAATGCAGTTGAAAGATGGTCCTGTCGCTGTACATCTTGAAGACAGGATGTTTGTGGAGGTGACAATTACGGTATGTCAAGACATTTTGAGACACCTTCTCTTTCAGGGCCCTTCCACCGAATGGTGTGACCTTGTGGCCAGCAGCGTCGGCCAAGTCCTCTGCCCGACACAAGTGCTCATTGGCGGACTTGAGGGCCTAGCGCATCTGCTTCAATACGCAGGTGACTTGTCCAGGTGCCCACGTGGCCATTGGGTTCCTCTTTAAAGCTGTATGTTCCAATGGCAGCAGATGTATTCTGAAGGCAGCTGCTCAAACAAGTTTCCCAAGCGCAAAAGCCAAAACCTCTTTTAGCACTCTGGTCGTGGGCACCGTCTCAAAGGTGACTGGTAACAGTTTGCACATACATGGGGCGTGCGGCAATAAACACAAGGCTTGGAGGCACACCAGGATCCGCACATCCAAGCTTCGCACTCCTCACACTGCATCATGCTATGTACAGCGCAGTTTTGACAAAGGCCGAGGTCTTGTTCACACACGCCTCAGCGACTTTTGTTGAAGCAAACCTTGCTGGCTTAGCTTATGCGTGCTGATGCTATGCCTGAGGATTGCACCACAAACCTCAGTTGCATCGTTCCTTCTGCATGTCCTTGATCAAGAGCTTGGTGCATTTGTTTACAGGATGCACATGCGGACATGCATCGCAATTCAAAGGACGGCTCAAAGTAAGAAGGCCACCAGCAGCTTTCACCGGAGGTAGAAGCTTGCGGGATCTCTTCCTCAACATGTTTTTCGTGCTCTGCTCCTCACAGGCAAGGACAACAAAAGCACCGGAGCACAGCCATCCCACAACCACATGCAGTTTTTCTTCAGTTGGCTATGCTTGAGTAATAGTCACAGGGCTAATGCCTCTCCTTGTGTTTTACTTTGAAGAAGCATCAGCACCTCGTCCATGACTCTAACTCGAACCCACTGCCCATCTTCCACGCAGCCACGGCATGTCGGACATGATGGGGATTGCTGCAACCAAACTTGCCTCATGACACGTGTAGTTCAATACAACGCTTCCCTCCGCAAAACACTAAAAAGTCTAGCTCTTTAATCTCTGTTTTGCGAAGCTGCTTTAAGCATAGAGGGTTCACTGGCATGCAACATTGGCAAATCATGGAGCACAGTATACCAAACATTGCGTGTTCCAAAAATTCCGACCAGGGAAGTCTCTCAGGATCCTTCAGTCAACTCGAAACTGCCAGTCTATGGCCTTACTGCCTGCACGTACCGAACAAACAAAACGCTTCAAGGTGGCTGTACTACTGCTTGCAGATCAGGCACACACATGTCTTGCAAAAAGCATGGCCACAGGGAACAAGTGCTACACAGTGTCTCAAGGGGCCACAACAAATGGGGCAGTTGGCCGCAGCAGGGCTGTCTTGCCTCAACGTCTTATTTCCAAACCGGGCTCGTGAGTCCATGTCCAGGTTCCTTTTTAAGACCTTCAGACGTTCATCCAATCTGAATTATATTTGCAAGAAACAACGGATAGACCTTTCTAGGAAAACTCACCAGGCAGGCTCTAAAAGACCAGTCGCTTGGTGGTTGAGATCAAGACCTAGAGTTCGGGTTCTGGGGTTCCAGCATTCTACGGACTTCTAGGGTTGCAAGTTGCAAGGTTTCAGGTTCCGGGTTCTAGGCAAAAAGTTGCGAGCAAGGCCAGGCTTCCAGAGTTTCCAGGCGCAAAGTTGCAATCATGGCCTTGTTGGAAGAGAAGCAAGAACCCCTGTAGCGATCCAGCTTACTTGCGATGGCCTCCAACCTACTGATGGCCTCCAACCTAAGAGCGATGGCCTTCAACCTACTTGCGATGGCTTCCAACCTAAGAGCGATGGCCTCCAACCTAAAAGAGACTGCCTCCAACCTGCTTGCGATGGCCTCCAACCTAAGAGCGATGGCCTCCAACCCTGTAGCGATCCAGCTATCTGGAGAAGATAATGTGAATTTTAGGGATCCAATCTACCAATTTTCAGGCAGGAACGAAACACATACACAAAAACAAGCTTGCCTCGAACTTCCACAAGTCCACAAGCTTCTCTTTGTGTAGTAAGACCATGTCTATTCAGCATACTAGGCACAATATAGATCTTCAATAGATATAAGAACCATTTCGATTCAATAGATCCAAGTGCCCAGGGCCAAGTATGCACCGACATGAACGGCCTAAGGTGCGTGCGGCCTTTGGCGTTTTGGACCACAGCTTGGACGTGTCCCTGTCCCGCTGACCATCGCCTGTGCTGGGGGCCAAGTCTCCTTTAATTGGGGGGACTTGAGCCAGAACGCCTGCTCGCTGCATCTTGAGCCAAGTAAAATGAGAAACCTGCTCGCTGCATGTGCGTCAGTCTTCTCAAAACTAAAGTTGCGCTTTATCATCATCGTTTTCTCATGGACTATATATATTTTTTTTATAGATATATATATATAGTGTACAGTAGTCAAACAGCAGCTCTCGACAATGGCTTGCTTGCAAGGCCAGGACCCTCAATTATCCGTTCACACTACTGGCCTGCAAGGGAGCTGCGTGATCTGCTGGAGAATCTGAGCGGGACCAGCTGAGATGTGTAGCTGGATGTGTGAGCATTTCAGATTGACTCGAAATCTTGGATGACCATGCCACCCTTGCCTGGTGTGTGCCATGGTCTTTTGAAGTCTTCGCTTACTCGAAAACCCTCACAAGCCTTCAAGTTTGTCCAATGCCACGCTCGCTACCTTGACATGGGACTTTCTCGATGGTGACGACAGTCCAAGGTGTAAAATGTTGGGTTAGCCCAAAGTGCCAAAGTGTCTCCGTAGCTTCTATGACATGTCATCACTAGGGCTCCAGCAGCAGACTCGGAGAGGGAGATGGACACCATCATCATCAGCCTGGGAGCATCACGGACATATATATATATACATACATACATACATACATACGTCCTTTCGCCAGCAAGAAAGCACACTTTGCTAGGGTATGAACTCATTTAGGAGTGCACTGCATCCTCTTTGGGATCCTGCCTCACAATGACGCTTCTCCGTACTGCTGATTCCGCTAGGATCTCTCTTGGAAAGACCCCAAGAGAGTGGCTCAAGAGATTGCATGTAATTTTCATTGAAATATGTTTCCAGTAGTTCCTCTCACTCACTAAGATGTCTCAAGATGAAATACATGAAAGACATTCCAAAGATTTCGGCCTCGAGGATCTGCGGTGGCACACTGCGCACACTGCGCTCCAGGTGCCAGGCAGCCTGCAGCCGCCATCGGTGAGGTCGGACCTCCCAGGTGTCCAAGTCGTCCAAAAATGCACAAAACGAGCCAAAGGCAGAGATTTAATCTCACAGGCAAGAACCTCTAGCTTCGTCTCTGATTGGGTGTGATCTACCTTGACACTTGTGCGCACCTTGCAATATTGTCTAGCATTGAGGTACACATTGAGAAGCTTTTATCTTGCAACTCGATGACTTACACATAAAGCAGTGCAAGGCCACAGCCTCATCGCCCTCGAAAAGATTCCACCTGAATGTCGTCGATAAATAACTTCTTGACGATCAGGAAGAATATTTGACTGAGAGACTATGAACACAAAGAAACTCCAAGCCTGAGGTCCATGTCTTCCTCTTCCTGTCAATCTAGGCTCAGGTTGCATCCCAACATGTTTGGACTGTGACACTCAGCACCTCTAAATCAACATGATATGGGTTCTTTCTACCATACAATACAAGAAACTAAGAAGCTATATATTGTTTCCAGTGAGTTGCAGCCCCGAAACTGTCGCATTGGTCTGCGTTTCAGTGGACTGCTCAAGCAAACCGAAGGTCAGCCTGCGGGTCCCTCAGTGTCCCCAGTGCAAAGGAGCCCGGTCATCCGCTAATATCTTCGGATGTTTAACACATGGGTATTCACAATTTGTCAAACCCAAAGATGCAGGTAGAAGGGCCCAGTCTGATCAGAGAGAAACCGCAACCGTGACACAGCGTGACATGTTTGAGGGCGTTCAACAGACACAGAGTGGCCTCGGTGCGAGTCTCAGCCCATTCTTCAAGCCTGCAGCTGACGAAAGTCACCAGCTGACAGTGGCGATCAAGAGAGGACAGGCTCGACAGGCTCCATTCAGGCTCCATTAAGTTTCACCAAAGCATAACACAAACGGCTCCTGTGAACCGTGCTGGTGGGGCCTTGCCAAGTATCAACCTCTTCTATTGCCTTTGACCTGTCCTGCGTCTGAATTGGGCAGGTGCCTGGCTAGCTGATGCTGGAGCTCATCCAAGACACACTCCTCGGGCTGAACATGCATCGGAGAATCCAGCAGGTTCAGGTGAAACGTGCCTTCGATGACTCCTCAGGCATGTTGGTCTCCTGCGTGGAACATGCCATGGTGCAAACGCAAATTCCAAAGAGAAATGTCCCTTGCACCTTTTGCTCATCATGTGCGAAGGGTTTCCAAGAATACACGAGCATGTCTGACATTTAAACACTACTTCAACGTTCTAGTTTTTGGGACTGTATCCTCGTTGGCAAACAGCAGGAGCGCGCGTCCAGATAAATACCTTGAAAGGATAGTCACGACTCTTTTCGTTGTGGATTGGTGGCCCCTGCACCAGTGCCAAGGTTTGCACTCAAATCTCAGCAGCAATTCCTTCCACGACGTGCAGTGCATTGATCACTCATACACTCGTGGCACACGGATGCACCTCTTTGAAAGGAAGTTGGGAGAAGAAGGGCTGCAGGTCGGGTCTCGGCCTAGCAAAAGTGGGTTTGCTTGTGGGCTACATCAAACGGAAAAACAAGGCTCTCACGTGCTGTCCAGGGAGACAAAGGTCCGTCCCATCTGAAGCGCTTGCCAAATCATAACCTGGGGGGAACAAGATGCAAGGCTCAAGCTCCGAAGAGACACGTAGAGTCTCTCAAGAGACTGAGAGAGATAGATGTGAGGTGCTCAAGAGATTGGAGTCAGTTGTGGGCTCGTTGGAAACAACGCGACAAAAACCTTTTTGGTGAGCTTCTACTCGCTCTAGCCATCTCTTCAGCTTGTTCGCAGACTCTAGCACTTCTCCAAAATGGCCTCTGCAAATGTGGCCGTGTCGGGTACCTCATCCCCTGCCACTGCCAGCGCTTGGATCACATTGTCTTGGACCAACATGGCGAAACGCTTCATGCGTGGGCCTCCCAGCTTCTCTCGAATCGTGGGATTATCCAAGACGAGGTCCAAAGCCTTGGCCATCGTGCCCTCGGTATCTGCGAGGAAGGTCACCATGGAACCGTCAATCTTTTGATCCTTGCCCCAAGCTTCCATCACTGCTCCATCGTTCACACTGCAGACCAGGACTTCATCGACACCCTTGGCTTTCAAGGCCGATTGCTGGGCAAGAAATCCCGGAACGTGCTGATTGGAACAAACTGGAGTGAAGGCGCCAGGAATGCCAATGACGATGGTCTTCTTTCCGGCCAACCGCTCAGTCGTGTTGACCTCCAGAAACACAAGTGGCAACTAAGCTCGGAAAATGATCGTGTTCGATTTCCCTTGGGTTTTTCAGTCAGTCGAAAAGGGGATACTGGACACCTTTGAGCGCTTCGCAAGTTTCAGCGCCTTCGCTGGTGGAAAGCCCAGATGCAAGTCCACGGTGGGGAAGCGATCGCCGATGGCAGCAAAGGCCCGGCGACCGAGAAGCGGTTGCCGCAGGTGCTTGGCCAGCATCACCAGAAATCTACTGACTGCAATCTAGGGCTTTTGCCTGATGCTAAAATGCTGCAAACGCCTTTTCAAATGCCATGGCTCCAACATCGATGCTCTACAAGAATGCAGAATGCAGGCTGCTGGGAAGATTGGCTCAGTGCGGTGCCTGTCTTCTCTTTGACAAAGGGCCTAGAACCAAGCAAAGTGCAGAGAATGTGGCATGGCTATGCCAGATCTGCAAGGTATAATACTGATACTCCAGCAATATTCCACAATTTGATTCCCATTTTAATTTTTTCAGTCCTGGCCTTTGAGCAAAAGCGAAGCCAGCTGTAGCAGCACCAATGCAGAGATGGGAAGAGCCAACGCTTCTAAACGCTTCGTCTCCTCCTTGGAGGCGCTCTTCAGCAAGTCCAAGGCATCACCCGCTCTCTTCAGCGCGACGGTGGCGGGCGCCACATCGGTTGGAGCACAGCTTCTCAACTCGGACGGCCATGGTGGAAGAGCCACAAAGAGCGCACTCACTGTGCTCACGTTGGAGACTGCCCGAGTCCAAGGGAGCATGCGATACCTTCAGGGTGCGCATTTTGCCTCAACCGGTTGGATACTGAAGTCCTCACAGAAATGTTCAATCCATTTGAATCCTCTGTCTTTTGCTGAGACCATGAAGATTATCCCAAATATCCTCCCACCTTGGACGCATGCTCAGGCTCAGGTCATGCCGAAGCCTTGACAACAAGGCTGCCGGCTCTGCCACGGTGGCCGCGCAAAAGGAGCCCGGCTCATCAGAGCAGTCGTGGTAGGTGTGGTAGGCTTCCAGTTCACAGAGTGCCAAGCCCAAGTGACTGCAGGCCTGGGATAAATGAGCACGACCAACAGCCAGGGGACCGCGTCGAGAACCAAAACAGGCTCAATACAATGTACAGTAATGTACTGTAACATGTATCTATATGATTCACATATCTGTGTCTGTGTCTATGTCATGTGATATATAATATATATATATATATGATTATATACATATATATGTATTTCAAGGCTCACAAACAGGCTGGATAGTCTGGCACTCTGAGCAGTTTCCTATTTTAAGCAGAACACAGCACATGGCGTATCAAGTTCAGAGGCAACGTTTCGTCTGCGGATCTGTCCAACAAATGGTGTACCCTGAACTGACCCAGGTTCCAACTCCTTCAAGCGGCTTGCAAAGCAGCTCTTCCGGCAGTACTTGATGGCAACCTGCGTGAGAGATTTGCGAAATCTTCCGAAGGGCTGCAAATTTATCAGTTTTTACGTTTGGTTGAAGCTGAAAACCCTTGGTGAGACCGCACGCATCGACGCACTTGGCCATTTCCCCCCCCCCCCAGCATGTGCCTTGCAGGAGCACCCTCCTCATCCTCGACCTGTGGGATGTAGGTCTCCAGGTCCAAGACCTGCCTAAAGAAGCGCGCTGCATCTGGGCCAGGCCTTGGAGTCGGCTCTGAGATGCTCTGAGATACGCTGCGGGTGATTGGTCAAAATGGGTGCACAGTTGCACCAAACATTGCCAAGGTGATCGCGTGGAGGAGACAGCACGGCAGAAGAAGAGCGTCGAGATGCGGCTGCAGAAAGGTGACACGTGACACCTGGCAGTCTGTTGTGGAGACCAAAAAGCACTAGGATCCAGGTATCCATGCAAGAAAGCAGTCGACCCTTCAGGGTCCTTTCTTCCAAGTTGTATCCTTCATTGCACAGTCGATCTGAGCTCTCAGATCAGGGCAGGTCATCCTCGATGACATTCCCCAGAAAACGAGCTGGGCAGCTTAATGCCTCAAGATCTGCAGCGTCCACCCGATTCCAGGGCTTCGTCGCCAGGCGCTAATCAATCACCAAGGTGGGCACGCGACGAAAGCTGGAGGGCTCATCCTGCAAATTGGAAGGCTTGAAGTCTCCCTTGGAACCCTTTATTTCGCTGTGCTGCCCCATTGGACAGTTTGCCCTTTGCCTCGTCTGGAAGCTCCAGGAAAGTGTTTTTCAAGACCAAGCCGTTGGCATTGGGTCCTGAGCCCACAAGCGAATGCTGATGGGACACCGACACCGACACGTAGTCGTCACAAGGCTTCAACCAAAGACTGGCAACGCAGAGCCTCCGCCTCACTCGATCAAAACGGAAACGACGCATTGAACGGGTGCTGGAAATATACAATAATCAACTAACATATCTGATGTCAAAACATGTTCCAACTAGCACCTTTGATTTTGAGAAGCGTTTAGAAGCATCTCTATTTATTTAATTGTGTTCAACATCTCTGTCAACTGTTCATTTTTTGCTGCAAGGCATTCAAAGGATCGCACTGCCTTCGTCTTGTGGGTAGTCATTTCCGGACAACCTGAATGTGCAGCGTTCTTGCATCTGTGCAGCTCTCGCTTCGCTCATTTGGACCGCTGAGTGCCCAGCTCGAGCTTTTCAATCATTTGTTTCACTAAAAGTGAATACAAGAACTAATCTTTAAGGACTCAACTTGATAAGCTTGAGGGATGCATCCTTTTTGTCCTCTTAAGTCAATGTCCATCGGACTTGTGATCAGCACGGAGAAGAAAACCAAACAAAAAAATCGTCCAATCTGGCACTGTCCTTCGACAACCAATAGCTGCAGCCCTCCAAGCGGCACCTCGAAAAGCGAATCGCCCTCATGATGCCGCACACTCCAAAATAGCTTAAGGCTGCCACTGGCGCTTGATCCAGCGCAACACCTCTAAGGTCATCTGGACACGCCGGCCCAGCTCCATTCCTTAGAAGGTGAAACATTGAAAAACACGAGCCAAGAAGTGACTTAAACTCAACTGAGGCATCCTGTGTGGGCTCATCAAGGCCAAAGGTCTCTCTTCAAGAAAGCGTTGCAACTCAGAGAGCTTGTAGATGGAATAGGACCTTCAGACACTGCGTTGAATGAGCAAAGTTCGACCTTTCCTGTGTGCATCTCAAAGTCTCGAGCCTAGTTGGATAATGGAAACAATGCCCTCTTCTCACAAGAAAGAAATGGGGAAGCAAACGCCCCTCTTCTCACAAGTGGGCACTGGGCACTGAGCTGAACAGCGCCATCGCGGTGAAAGCAAACGGCAAACTCTGGAACGCCGGCCTCAGCTCTTGGAAAACTCCAAGCGAATGTGCAAGCGGCCGGCTGCACAGCCACCTTTATCTGAGGGCACGACCATCAAGCATTCAAGCCAGTGTTCCAAAAGTATGGTGTCAGAGATCATCCTGTCACCGTGCAGGTACCTGAGAGGTATAAAAAACATGTGTGAATCCAGAAATTTCCGCACCAGGATGATCGGACAACAATTACTAAGAACAATGAGGCTGGGTAAGACCGGACAACTGCTACACTTGCATGTGTGATCTCCACACCTTCAAGCGAGTCAAAAAATGAAGCCATCCGCCACTACAGCTCGAAAAGCTATCCTGTGCTGCATCGGAAGCCTTCGGGTTCAGGCCTGTCCAACTGATGCTCAAAGCTAATTCGCCCAGACACAAAGTCAGCTTGGGGTGTTCTGAATTGCCAAGGCAGAGCAGGCGGCTCCCCACCACCACAGACGCATCATCTGCCATCTTCCAAACACCCACCTGTTGGTCATCCAGTGATCCCAGGTCTGTAGGTCTGCTACACAGCTCTAGGCCTGATGAAATGATGCAGGAGGGCCATCCAAAAGCACCAGCTCACCCTGACCTTCCAAGCTTCAAAGTTGTTCTCAGCTGCCAAGCTCTGAGCTAGGGCGGCCGCATTTTGTCGGCGAAGGAGCAACCTTCACAAGGAGCAAGCTTCTACAATGGCTCTAGGCCCAACAACAACAACAACAACAACAACGCAACCCTCTAACCGCTAACCAGTTCAGATCTGCTGCAACTCATAGGGCTCTGATGCCCGGATGCATGTAGTATTGGGGTTACAATTGGCCCATGCAGTTGTGCTGTGAGTGAATGGTCTGGTAATGCCTCTTGTTCTTCATTCTCTGCTGCGATGGGCTGAATGAGCTCGTCCTAAACAGCACAAGCTTGCGCCGCTTGCGCTGACCGGTGCTTACCAAAGCTGCAAATCTCAAGATGTCCTGAAGCTGTTGAATGGAGTGACCCAGAAAGTTCCGATACAACTGCGGATCATCCTGCGCTGCGGCCCAAGAAATAACGAAAGGTCTATCTTGATGCTTGAAACGCTGGAGAGGGCAAATGACGAACAAGCGACTCGGATTCAAGCATCAACGGTCAAAAGCTGGTGCAAACTGACCAAAAGCCAAAAGAGCATTGGTTTCCACAACCAAGTGACAAACAGGAATTGGTGTCCCGAATTTGACAGTCGGTGACACACAACTAAGTATCACATAAATAGGTGCACAAACAGGTAGCAAATGTCGTCACAACAGATAGAGTCACTGTCACTACAGTCTCGACTACTACGACTACTGCTACTGCTACTGCTACTGCTACTCCTACTACTACTACTACTACTACTACTACTACTACTGCTTCGCATGGTAGCTTCTGCCTGACAAAAAAGAGTCGCAACAGCGAGCGAGTGAGGTGGGTCCTGAGAACCCAATGGAGGTGAATCCAGTGGTTCCTCCTCAAACACCTGACCTGCCAACGAAGGCCGAAATCCAAACTCTACAACACAATCAAGCAAGGTCACGGTCACTTGACAGGACACGCCTGGATCTGGGTCTGGAAAATCATCATAGGTCTCTGGTGCAGGTGCTTTCAAATGTTCACCTCAAAGGTGAGACAGGGCAAGAAACAAAATAGCAAGCATGTTGCTCAAAAAAGACAAGTACTCAGTATTATCTTGAATGAGATCAAGGGTTTGTTGCTCTTGTTTGCCTGTGTCAACCAGCTTCAAATGCTCCGGACTCCTATCTGAAGGTCGAAGCAGTCACCAACCTTCTATGAATCTGGCTCTCTATATTTATATATATATATATATGTATATATATATATATATCAACTCTGTCTGACACTGTTGCTTTCATTTTCCATCTGCAAAGCAGGTGTACACACAGTTCCGCCATCTTTCAGCTGGAACTGACACAACGCCACCCAGCAGATAGGGCTGGGAGGGAAACTCGGGTGAAGCTTGAGAAACAGGTTGCGGCATCGTAGATAGAAGGTCATCAACTCTGTCTGACACTGTTGCTTTCATTTTCCATCTGCAAAGCAGGTGTACACACAGTTCCGCCATCTTTCAGCTGGAACTGACACAACGCCACCCAAATCTTCCGTTTATGCCCGAACTGTTCAAGCTGCTTTCTGCTGCGTGGCGGTAAAAAGAAGGTACCAAACTTCTCGGGGGATCTTTGCTTGCTCAAAAGCCCAGGCTTGCTCGAGGAAAGTAGTAAAACAAAAAGCGAGTTCAAGCACCTGTTCACGCACACTCTTCTCCAGGATAGAGAGGAAAGATGTTGCGGCCACTTCTTGTATGTAGATACTCATAACCCTGTAGCTGGCCCAACGACCTCGCCTCATGACGAGGTCTCCGCTTTCCGTGGTCTGAAGAAGGTGTGTGGCTCCTCCTGGTCTCAAAGAGCCGAGGTCTAGGGCTCGTACACCTTTGTAGGTCTCCACGGGCAATCGCAATGCTCTGAAGATCGAACGGAGTCTATTCCGCATGGTTTGCGGGCTCCTATCCCAGAGAAGTTCAGATGGTCGAAGTGACCTAAAAGCCAGCTCCATCGTGGACACCAAGTCTGGGATGTCCAGCTTTGAGCATTGGTGCCTTGCTGTGCTATGTCTGGTCTTTGGCTCGTTTATGGCGAGGAGGGCAAAGGGAACACTACCTGCAAGGTCTGAAGGAAGTTGTAGATCTTGTCTTCTGGCTTGAAACAACTCTCCAGCCCTTAAAAGTCCTCCCCAGGCCATTGCTAAACATCCAGCCATGCGAACCCATCCCCAGGCAAAACAGCAGCTCAAGCATGCCATCAGTACTTGCGCCGGCATGGCGGTGTGGTGAACCGCCGGTTCTGTTTTGCCCCAGCTATACGCCAGGTCCCAGGCGCCCTGAAGGGTCCGGCGCAACTGTGGCTTCCAACTGGAAATTGAGTTTATCGTCTCAGAGAAATCATTCAGCGGTCGGCCCGCTAGGTGGAGCTCACGCCCATAGGCTGTCAGCAGTGTGTTGATTTCCTCTATAGTCTGGTAGGTGTTGACAAAGAGGTCATCGACCACAACACCACGTCCTTCCAGCCACCTCGTGAAGGCTGACAGCAGCACCTCTCTTCGCTTCTCAGTGACCTTTAGCACAGGTCTGCCAGTGGGGAGTGGCCCAATCCTCTTTCGGTAGTCAGCTCTTCTCTGGTCTCCCGGGTTCCGGGGTTCTATCGTCACTGCCATGGCGCATCGCGTCCCCCCCAAAATGGCTCCTGAAATCCAAAAGGGAGGAGTGCCTCGCCCGCCCAGGAAAGATGAAGACAGGGGAGAAGCAACAAAAATCCAGAGGAGAAGTAGCAGAGGGCCCTCACCTGGGAAGCCGAGTGTGCTATCAAACTCTCGAGGGAAAGCGCGGTTGAGGAAGGATCTATATTCCCAAACAGGCGGCTGCCTAAACGAACTCTGATCTCTGAGGCTCAACAGATGGGTCCCGCCCACCAAAACTACAAAACGCAACCAGTTGGCGGCTGTGCTCTTAAGACCCTTATGGCTTGCCACGTCCTCCCACTCCGAGAGGCTCAGTCTGAGAGTGGCACCTTCGCGCACTGGGGATCTAAGCTCAACACCACGAGTGGGATCGTCTGAAGGGTTCAGACGAGTAGGACAAAAGGGCAGACACAGGTACTGGCCTGCGGCTAAGGAAACTGCATTGATCTTAGCTAAAATCGGCATGAGGCCTCTGGACGATGTCCGTCCTTTTGAAACCGCACATCTAACGACGTTCGAATCGACGAGAATGGAGGTCCTCTGGGGGGAGCCTTTCCTTGATGCATGCTCAATCGCTCTGAGGACCGAGACAGACTCCTGAATATTAATGTGCGAGGCTCCTTTGAAGGTCCATTTCTTCTCAGTCTGCCAAGGCGCTTCCAGAGCAAGCTGATTCACCAGAAGGCTTTCAAGTCCCGCGGAAGGGGCTCCGTCCCAGTCCTCGTCGAGGGCCCTCTTTGCCAAAATGGCATCATGGAGCACCAGAGCAAGGTTTTGTGCGAGGTCGTCTGTATACATGGCGCTGGACTTTGTGTACTGACCCTGCACTTGCAGGTGCTTACCTGAGCACCTACATCTCCTCCTCACCCTGCTGAGCGGGGCCCAAACACTGAGGAAAGCGAAAGGCTTCAAATGTTCCGAACCAAAACAACACGAGTCCGACCTACAAAAGTCAGCTCCTTTGGCCCCTTGGAGTCTCTTGTAGGGAGGCAACGCTTTCAAACGAGAAGAAAAAGGGGTCTCAAGCCAGCCCGGTGTCCCAACCCTGTGCCCCAAATGAAGACACTGGAGCCCTCTCAACGCGAGGACTGTGCCTGTTTTGGTTTGTGGGTCTGCGGGACAGAAACCATACGGCTCCAGCTTCGACCTCAGTTGCGGTCTTCTCATTATCGAGAAGGTGGCGCAGGGAGGTTCACAGGCAAAGCTCTCTATACTCTTAGTGACTATTAGGTGGCTCAACCAACTCATGACATGAACCGCCGAGAGGTCATATTCCGGACTGAAGCTCAGGTCGATGGGCGGGCCTACTGACCACCCGAGTTGAGACATCTGTTCCGTGACCTTTGAGGACCCCGCAAAAAGCTCGATGAACGCGAAACGATAGGCCAACGGCCTACGGACATTAACCGGCTGCGCTGCCGTTTCAAGCTCGTCTTCAAATGACTCGGAACCTCCGATGCGTTTGATGTCCGACTCAACCTGCGAAAGGAGCCTCGTGTAAGCCCCCTTAGATTTGCATGCTTTCCAAATCACCGACGACAGGTCTCTAGGAATCGATGCTGAGCAAAAGGCGCCCATCCTGCTGGAGGCGTCACTACAGTACAGCAGTGTGTTGAAATCGGCGCTCAAGTCTGAGCTCGCAAGCGGCATCAGGATTGCCGCAAGGACAAACTCGTTGGCAACCGACCTAGGCAGGCGACAAATCTTTGGGCGGTTAGGGTCCACTACTGAACCCTGCACAAGATCGTAAACCCTATGCAAAAGGCCCATGAGAGGCCTGCGGAACATGAAGGCTGACGCCCAACCTCCGGTCAAACACACATGTAAGACGTCTGTGGTGTGCGTCAAGGTGCACAGCTGCAGACTGATGACTGAAAGCGCAATACGCTTCTCAATAGGGGCGCCTAAGGTAACAACACCCTGGGCGCGGGCCTCCGCACTTGAGTTGCATACGGCCCCAACAATCTTTGCCTTATCGGCCAGCGCGTCCTTCTCAGGACTTCCCAGAATCCCAGCCTGCTGATAGGCCTCAAGGGCCCGATCGATCTTCAGCTTTGCACCCGAGGCCTGCAACGGCGTGCCCAGGGTCTCAAGGCTCATTGCAAAATAGTCGTCAATACAAAGTCCTTCGCAGTTTGACTGATCAAAAAGGGGAGTACAACTTTGTAGCCTAGACTTCTCATCAAGGAGGCCTACGCCTTTCAACAGCGACAGGTGAGCACTAGTAGCTACATCAACCCCTGTGTGGTCTCCCTGGAGGATCGATCTAAAAGCAACGAAAAGCTTCTGCGGCTGGCCCTTTGCAAGACGCTGACCTTTCAGGCCTAAGCGGTCTCCGTGAAGACCTCTGTGGTATCTGGACTTCGCCTGGCGTAGGAGGTACGCCGAGAAGGCATCAAATTGTTCTAGCTCGCTCGCATCGACCGGCGGTCCTACAGTGTTCGAAAAAGCACGGCTATCCGAAACAGCAAACTGGTGATAAAAATCCTTTCTGTCAGTGATGGCTTGGGCTATGTAGTGGGTCCTGGGGTTACAGTACCAGTCTAAGAGGTCGGGGCCACATGGGAGGAAGGCACTGGGGCCCTTCACACGGCCCTCGCAACTATTTCTCGAACGTCGGTCGCCGATTTGGCGGTCCATCTTGACATTCTTGAACGCATTGAAGATGCGGGTATAGCATTCAGGATGCTCATCAAAAGCTCTGCCATCATGGATGAAAAGCAGGCCTTGCTTGTCCCAGACTGATGCGAGTGCGACTATCTCGCTAGGATCATCGGTAATCAGCGGCACATCTTCTTGTAGGGGCTCATCTGTGAAGAGGAGAGATGCTGGCTCACGAAAGGCCAGAACCAGTTCATCCTGCAGGAACTCTGTGGCGTCCCATGCTCCCCTGCCAGTCAGGACAAGTCTCTTTGCATCCAGATTCCTATAGGGTTTCAGCTCTTCTGCGTCTGTGGTTGGAGCAACCTCAAAGCCATTGAACACCTTGTCATAGGGATTGCAAGAAGGGCCAATGGACGTTAGGGCTTGAGATAGCTCCGAAAGTCGTGCAACTAATTGTGGAAGCCTACGACCAGAGCTAGCAATACATTGAATCGTAGCTTGGCCCTCCGCCCTGATTAAACTCCGAATCCTCTGATAAATGCCCTTATGGTAGGCGTTCGGAGTTCTCCCCAAGGCCTCCAGGCTGCATGGTCCTCCAGCATGGTAAAAGTTCAAAGCCAGAACAATGATGTGGATGGCCCGAGCAACGTGGATCTGCCTTCTCTTCCTTGAAGAAAGGTCTGGGGGCATCCGAGCCCAAGGCTCACCCGAAGGGAGCGGGACCGGGAACATGGACGGTGACGCACTCTGGGAGGTGCGAGGCAGATGGAAAGTACGGGCAAGAAAAGCAGCAAAGGGTGTCCTCGTCCTGAGTACAGCCGATGTCAAACACGCGCACCACTTCGGGAGCGACATACGCTGCTGAAGTGCATCGAATTTTGCTTCATGGTTGAGCTTGCTGGGCTGTGGTTGGCCGGCGTGATCATCAGGCTGGCCTCTCCATGAATTCTGATCTCTCCCCTCCTCCCGTGGCGATGACTGTATGTCACGTGGTGGAGGAGACACATGCATAGCCTTCACTGAGCTGCTTGGCCACCGCCTCCCTTTGGCTTTTTGGGGAAGCGAGGCCTTTTCTTCGGTGAATCGCCCTCCTTGGTTTCTTGGCTGGCTGACGCCCCCGCCTTCTTGGATGGACTCTCCTGCTTCTTGGAGTTCATGATATCCAGGTCCTTCAGGTAGGCCAGCAATACGGCCCCCCATGCAACTGGCATCAATGGGCTGAAAGGCTTGGACACCGAGAGGCTGGTTCCCTTCTCTGCAAACAAAGTCGCTGGTGGCTCCTCGGCCAAAGTTACCAGGAATGCTGTTGACCATCCTTGGTCCAAGGCCGCCTGATCCAGAGCCGTGGCGAAGAGGGCAAGGTGTTCTCTGACACCATCGAAGTCTTGCGCAATTGCAGCATCGACGATATACCCAAGCACCCAGAGAATGGTACCGATCTCCTTCGACTGCTTGTAGGCACCGTGCCTCTCCAGATAGGCCAGGAACGAAAGATCGGAATCCTTTGCCATATCTGTGGAGGTTGGCACCGGGCGAGAGGGGTTCATCCTCCTTGACAGCTGCTGAAGGAAGGCGAGCCAGTAATTGCTCTGTCTGAGTGCCAGGTCGCTTTGCATCTTCTCCCGCCTGGCGACCCCCCGGGTTGAGGACGAACTGGAGCTGATGCTTCCTCCTTGCAGGTCTATCAGCGGGTCTGTCGAGTGGCCCGCAAGGTGCGCCACCAGGCTGGTCAATGCAGTGCTCTGCAGGGACAGCGCTGCCAACATGGGGTCCGCCGCTTGTTGGAAAGGGTCTTGTGGCTCGTCTCGAGCGACCTCCTCCGGTAGAGCAGGGACTGCAGGCTTCTTCTGCGTCTTTGGGGGTGGCCCCAAGAGGGATGCTGCTGCCTTGACGGCCGCATCCTTGGGCCGTCCCAGATGAGCAAACCCTTGACCCAGTGCCGGCATTTGTGGATAAGGTCCAAGGCCTAGACCAAGCCGTTGTCCTCCTGCAGGCGCGGCAGAGGGCGCAGCAGTCTCGGGCCTTGGTCTTGGCATCTGTTGAAGTGCCGTCAAAGCTTGTACCTGAGTAGCCAGCGCAGCGACTTGTTCTGCCAAAGCGGCATTTGTGAGTCTCTTGGGCGCCGCCTTCTTCGGTTGACCTGGGGTCCTGGGCGCCACACTCTGAGTCTCCAGCTCTTCTCGAGCCGAGTAAAAATTTAGGCGAGATTGTCCCAGGTCTTCAGTCCACTGCTTTGCCAGAGATACCAAGGAGGCCGAGAGTGGCAATGCCGCAGGATGATGATCGTCATATGCTTGCAGTTCCTCCAGTGAGTCCGTCACCGGATCATATTCTCTGAAAGCTTGGAGCGCTGAATCAGAAAGGTCCACCAAAAGAACTTGAACTTCGTGATCAATGCTATATATCTGACCGAATTCATCTTCTTCACAAAGGCCTACCGTCACCACGTACGAGGGACCCAGTAGGTCTTGATCGTCTGCTTGCTGAGCGGCTGACAGTGCTTCCGATGAAAGGGACTCCACTGGCAGGGCTACCAAAAACCCCCCCTCTCTAGACAAAAGGGGCTGTGCATAGGCTTGTCCGTTCTCCCCCGATTTTGAAATCTCCGAGGGTATTGAGAAAATTAGGAGGCTAGGTTCCCCTACCTCTGCAAACCGGATGCTGGACTTGTGCATCGCTTCAGTGGGGGCACAAAGACCCTAGCAGCAACACAAAAAGTTTGCAACTCAATGAACGATGCGAACTCCTCGATGATTGCGGTCGGATCCGAACTTGCCAAGGCACGGAGTGCGTCCCTGCGAGTGGATGCGCGCACGGTCTCCTTTAATCCTAACCCTCGGAGGACAATCCAATGCGTGCTCGATAGGTGCGGGACAGATCCTGCAGGCCGGTAATGCGCCCCTGTGGCGATGGCCAACCAGGCACTGTGGCCTAACTCAAAAGCTCGCTTGGCCCTCTCAACAGGCGTGATGGACGAATTGGACCTTAGTCGCTCGCTGCACAAATCAATCAAGTACCTTGGTACGACAGGCTCGATGTCCCTCAGTGGTGAGGTGGTTGCACCGGGATACGGGTGAGCTAGGTCGGTGACCCCGATCGGAAGCGATCCCTCTTCGACTAGTTCCCAGCTCTGGTCGGCCAGGGCGCTGCTCTCAAGAGATCCGACCCTCTCGACCAGCCTAGCAAGCCTCTCGCTCAGGGCCCTCAGCTCAAAACCCACCTGAACCAGCTCTTCCTTAATCGACGAAGCCGAGGCCTCAATGCTCATGCAAGTAGCCGCGAAGCCGGCTTGTGGTTCTATAGGGCTGGGGCGTGAAAGATGCCGGAGCCCTCAGCAAGTGAGGATGCAGAAAGAACACAAAAGCAAGGCCGGCGAGGACGACGAGGGAGAGACAAACCCCTGACAAAAGCCCCAGGAGAAATGGGGCTACGATCGAAGGGTGACAATGCGCGGGGCAGGCGAGGAAGTGAGTAGCCTGAACAAGGGCAGAAAGACCCGAGATCCACCCTTCCATGAAGCTTGAGAAACAGGTTGCGGCATCGTAGATAGAAGGTCATATAGAGAGAGAGAGAGATAGACCAATGCCAACGGGAGCTGAGCTTCATACACGCTTCTGCTGCTCTTGATGCTTCAGCTAAAGCCTTCAAGGAACCAAAAGTTGTCGATTTCTGCACGGAGCTTCTGCAGCACCAAACTTGAGGTCTCACAACGTGAAGGTTCACCTTCTGGCAGAAGTCTTACTGTGATAGAGTCTCTGTGGCTGTCTTGAATTTCAAGGTATATAATTACTTGGAATGATTCATAGAGCGATCAGACTAAATGTATAAATACATACAAAACATAAAGGTCGGTAACTTTGTGGACGATAAAACCAGGCACGGACGCACTCTAGCATCATTGCAACTCATTTTGTCACTTGCGCACTTAAATCTCGTCGTGCTGTTCAGACGTCGGCTGATCAGCAAGCATCGCATCGTCCTTCGAGTGTGGCAAAAGACCCGTCCCGCAATGTCGCACAAAGTATTTCACCAAAGCAAGTCTCATTGCATTTCAAACAAGAGGACTCGTCCCAAAAAGGTTGGGCAAGAGTTGCAGCTCCCTCCTCTGCGAAATCGAACTCGTCCATTTCCTCTTCCTCATCATCTTCTAACCCTCCTTCGGTTTCTTCATCGTCTTCGAAAGGTGAATCCTGGACACGACATGATGCTGCTCAGAAATGATTTTGCGTCTTGTGTTTGTTATCCGGCATTCAACTGAAACAAGGCAGACCGCAGCTTTTGTCTGACTGCCAAGACAAAAGGGCAATGCCACACATGACATTCATGTTATTTTTGTAGCTGAAAAGGTTGTAGATATACTGATATACAGTATACCTACAACCTGTTCTGCAACAGAAATAATTGTTTTGTATGATGCACAAACCCACCGTGTCTGCAAGAACGTGATTGAAACATAGACAGGTTCTTCGAGGCGCGGCCCACCGCATTCTGTCACAACTTGAATACCAAGACAAATTAGGTCCTCTTCGGCGTCGTCAGGATCTGCATCCAGACAGGATGAACTTCCAGGTTCTCCTTGGCGGTGTTTGCACGGGGCACATGTGAATTCCAAACCAAAACGGGGATCCAAGAGCCAGGTTGGAGGTTTCTTGTTGCTCAGAAAAAGAGACAAAGTAACAACGGGGCAAAGGCAAAAAGCCAAACAAAAAAGAGACAAAAACAAAGAGTTGGATCAACCGACTTTCCAGTGGCCCATGTGCTCCTTGCACGCAATTACCTGCTCCATCTCGATCTTGATCCTGGCATGCATAGCCTCTCAGAAATCAATGCCGACCGGAGGGAGGACTAAAAAAAGAAGGGGTGTCAAATTATTGCGGATCGTCAATAATGGCCAAACTTACTTATCTCTCTTGAGTGTTTCTGTTACAGTATATAAATCCTGGCCTTCTGCGCAAATCACACAGTCACCCGGCCCTGGGCCATCGCAGCAAAGGCACGGCCACCTCATGCATCACAACCATGTGCGAACTAATACTAATAGTTTTTTTTAGATTACACTTGTTTCTAATAGCTTCTTGTTACTACTAGTAAGGCACCTGTTACTACTAGCGTGGCACTTGTTCCTAATAAATCACGATTTCTTCAATTCAATCTATGTCTTCGTAGACCTGGTTCGATGGGAATGTTGACAAGTCGTTGGAGACTTTACATCCGAAAAGGACTTTGGAAGTTCAAACGCTGACATCTGCGGCTCACATCTGCGGCTCAAAGGTGGACGGCAATCCTCCAAACCTCATGGAAGGTATGCAAACATTGGAGAGTCGGATGGGTAGAAACGCAATAACTAATCGTAATGCACTCTGCGACATGGAACGAAATTTCAAGCCACGGTCTGATTGAAGTGCGCCAAACTCTTTGCTGCATAAGAATGCTCACAGTTTACGACGAGCGGAAGGCAAAAACCCGTTAAAAAAACCATCAAAAACCCGTTAAAAAAAACCGTCAAAAACCGTCAAAATCGGTTGTCGGATTTCACCCCTTTGTTTTTGTCGGACCTAAAAGGTAATGTCTGTCGTGTATATGGAAAATCTTGTCGACCGCCATCGAAATCTTGTCAGGGAAAGAACACGTGTTCGTTTACGACTGTCATGAGGCTAAGGAAACGACTTTTATCCTCGACGTCTTCTTCATAATCATAGATATCATCAATCTCCTGAAGCGCTTCCCACAGCTGGAACCTTCTGCCCCAGTGTATAATGAAAGCTTGTGAGATTTGTTGCTGTGACAGCCCTGATGGGCCAAGGGATCATAAAACAATTATTAAGGGGATCAAAAAATATATGTATTGCCAGGAATTATTTCACAGCGCATATCCACTTGAACCGAGCGCATGCATTGAGAGAGGCCGAACACCCGACAGACTGAACACTCAGAAGCTCCAAGCTTTTCCGCACCTTCATGCGGAAGACGCCCCCCAATCAACCTTGCCTGCCTTCCTTCTTCCTTCCTTCCTTCCTTCCTTCCCTCCCTCCCTCCCTCCCTCCCTCCCTGACTTCCTTGCTTCCTGGACGGACGTCCGTTCGTCCGTCCGTCCATCCTTCCTTCCTCTGATATTGATTTGTTTTTGATCCTGATAATAATTTGTTTTTGATACCCATGCCGCCCTGACGGGCCCTGAGCCGGTAGTGATATTCCAGCAGACTCAATGAATTCCACATCTTCGTTCCTGCCTTTTTGCAACTTTGACATTGACAAACTGTTCATAGAAAGCTGTTCAAAACACTTGATGAATCACTCCTCATCAATCAGTTCTGATCCTTGAGCTTCAATCGATGCCTCAGAATCTAGCACTTCCATCCGTATTCCTTTGTTTTGAGCCCGGCACCTGTACTCGCAGCAACAGCGTTAGCACAAGCCAAACACCAGGCATGGCTCCAGGGGATCAGCATTCTTCAGGTTTGTGATTCGTGTGTCACCAATCAGATTCGTGACACTGGGATTGGACTCAGAAAAGACCTGACAACTTGATACAACTTCCTTGACTAACTTGATGACTCCATTTCCATTCAAGCCAAATCTGCGGGTAGGTCAAAACATGTGTCTCAGGAGGTCGAGAAGTACCATGGGCCTCTCGAAGTTCTTCGTCTGCCTGACTTGCAGCCTTGGAAAACCCACAGCCACCCAGGGAGGAGAGGTTCGCTGCTCAAAGTTGGGTGCGCAGTCAACATATGCATACTTGGGTTGTGTACCGGTGGTCCCGCACGCTTCCTGTTGCCAGCATGGCTACAGCAAACAAACTTGCATTTGAGCTGTAAACCTCCGTTTGTTGGCATCTACAGGCACGCAAATGCATGCGCGGCACAAACTCACATCAAGACAATGCCACATAGTGCCGCATAGCATCAGAGCACTGTCGAAGAGGTCAATATTCACTATAATTGAATTGCAAACATATGAAACCGATTGATACCCCCTTCAGGGAGAGGAAAGAGGGTGAAAGTATCAGTTTCACCTATATATCGCCAGCCAAAGAATTCCAGCAACAAGTTCAGTGCCAAATGTCCTCCACAACAATTGAATCATTGAATCAGCGAGATTGCATAGTGAGCGATGGGAACGCCTGTTGCGACTGCACGAAGGCCTTCCGCTGTTGTAAGAATACTTGCATTGCGGGCTTGGCGCACACGTGGCAGTCAGGCAATCACTTGGATCTTGGCATTTCCTGAAAGGAACGGGAGCACGAAGTGATTGAATTTGTATGTCGGGGGCAAAGTTCCTTCATTTGGACCGAAGCTCTTGTGCTCGACATCCCAGTGGCCAGAAACCAATGCGATAAGAAAAGTTTTGTGGGTCTGTGAGCCTTCTTGTGTCCGAGCAAAATGACAATGATGAGCGCAAGACCAGAACCATCATTGCACAAGTCTATTAAAAGGAAGCGAACAGAGATGAAACATAAGGAATGATTAAAGGGTGCATTACCTTTGTTCATCTCTTTTTTCTGCCTTTATTTACACAACAGCGAGCCACAAGGCCCGTGTGAGGGGCCTCCACATTGTTGAGCTGACTCTGTGAGTTGTCAGACATCTGTGGAATGTGTGAGTGACTTTTGTGAAGTAGTGACATGAATTGACGGTAAAAGGTTTGTCAACTGGCCAACTGGTTGCAAATCCGTTGCCCATCGCACATGCTACACTAGAATTGAACATGTACCCTTCCGTCATGTCTCACACGTTTGCACTAAGCGGCATCATGTTGCAATACACCACGCAGATTCGCAGCAACATTTGAGCTTGCCAAATAAGCGTAGGCGATTCAGCGGTAGAAATTGTACGCGACGAAACCAAAACGTATTTGTGCTAACACCAACAATGAGAATCCGGCAACTTCAGCATCCCAAAGCATGGATCTAACCTGCAAAGTCCATAGACAAAGAAAATGAGGAATCAACACACAAATCACTGGTGTGATTCAACAATCAGAGTTCCAACAGAAGTCCCATACCCTATACATTCTCTCTTGTTGTGCCTTCTCCAAGTACTGCTGTCTTTCTCTGGACTTTGCCTTTGCTGCCTGGACACCGCAATCCAGGCCTATTCCCGAAATGTGGAATCTTGAAAACAACCTTTACTCTTCTCAAGCATCCTGAAACTACCAAATCTCGGCATTCTTGATCCTGAAACCTAAAGTATATAGTTCAACTGGATCTGATCTTCCCCAAAGCCAGTGAAGGCGAACTAAACGCGAAGGCCTCGACTTTGGCTTGACACGCCCGATGAAGTTGTTCCGCATCGCGGACCCGCTCCGCCTCGGACTGCAGGTCGGACCTCCCCGTTTTGAGGTCAGACCCGTTTTGAGGTCCACTTCTGGTCCACTGGGGTGTTCACCCATAAATCCTCATCTGGTCCACTTCTGTGCGGGCACCATGACAACTCACTTCCATCATCAATCACCAGCCTTTGCCATGGAAAAGCGTGCCAAGAAGCAAATACATCTTTACAAAAGCACTACTAGGAACAAGAAGCTACTAGGGGCTCCTGGCATCGCTACTAGGAGCAAAAGGACACTACATTGAAATGTCCAAGGAGCCAGTCGCCCAATCGGTGCACTGCAACTCCAACGTCGGACTCCTGCCAGTGACCAAGTGAATGGACTCCAACCCTTCGCCCGTGGCCAGTCCGTCACTTGAGCCCCTAGTAGCTTCTTGTTCCTAGTAGCGATGCCAAGAGCCCCTAGTAGCGTCCTTGCTCCTAGTAGTAAGGCCAGGAGCCCCTAGTAGCTTCTTGTTCAGTCCGTCTCAAAGGATGCACGGAAAATGCTCTTCATCGCAGTTGCACTGCTCACGAAGTCCACACCTTGGAGGGGAAACTGCAAGCCTCGAAAATAAGAAATGCCTTCTTGTGCGCATCTGTGTACACTGTATGCATATAAATACTTTTTTGGGGGTTTTTTAATGCCGCCTCGTCCCTTTCCAGCTCCGTAAAGTTTCTGCCTTTTCCACCAACTTTCTTCAATCAAATGCTCATGCGATAACCCACCACTCCTGTCCATGGAGTTGTACATCAATCCTCCTCTCCCTTCCAACCGAACACCCAAATTCCGAGCCAAAACCCTTGCCACACCTACGTCATGCGTCGCTAGTGCCCATAGCTTCCTGATCTTCCTAAACAAGTTCCCGGCCCTGCCCAAAATGATTCGCGTTGTCCGCCTAGATGAGAAGCCCTGTCTCCATCCAAAACAGGGGCAATCTTGCGGTCCACAAGCATTCCAGCACAGGGCAAGGTCTGCCTCCCTAGTGCAATTCACGTGCAAAGTGAAACGACCAACTGTACGCCATTGGAAGACGGCTAGACTGGGGTAGTCTGGCCCAGGAGTTCGTTGCATCAGTCCTCAAGCCCTTGCAGAAGTTCGCCCAGCCCTTTCAACTCGGAAGGTTGGGGTCGGGGTCAATGGGTGGTGGGCAAAAGGGACGACCTATACAAACATCTTGCACATCCTCTTTGGCCAAGAACAAAGTACGCGCTCCCAAGTTGCGTGGGAGGGAGGTTACGGACGAGCTACCTTCCATTCGCATGAATCTCAACAGCGCCCTGCTGCAGAGCTCCGCATCAATGAAGCAATGATGAGCGGCTTTGTCCTCTACCAATTTCGGATCCATATAAAGGTCCTTCTCAAGAAGCCTTTCCACAACTGGAAGTTGCGAAGGCGGGCGCTCTCACGCTTGCGAACGCCCAAGGCAGGCTTCCTGAGCAGTGGTGCACGGACTCGAAAAGGCCCTGCCCGAGCTCCTGGACTTGTGCCTTCGCATTTGCCGAACTGCATAGCAACTCTCCTTATCTGGATCTCTCTCTCTCTCTCGCTCTCGGCGTAAGCCTGGTGGATACGACTGACGAGCCAAACGGTGCACTTTCCTTCTCTGCTTGAGACCTCCGCCACTTCAGCTCTTCGCGGACCTTTCTTCCGCTCTTGCGGAAAATTGGTTGGCGCCAAAAAAGCCTTCCCTCCGCTCCTCTCCAGCACACACACACACAGGTGTCCCAACTCAGCGACATTGCGCCAACAGTGCCTCTCAGCCACCGCCAGCTCCGTGCCACGCGTGCGCGCCAAGGCCACATCTCCGTGGCCCAGCTGAGTGGAACTCTGGCTGCTCGCCAGGCACTCCGGCGCAGAAGCAGCAAAGCCCTCACGCTTGCAAAGGATGTCCGCCAGGACTCCCACCCCCACACGCACCGCGTCAACGCCCAACATCAACTAACAGACTACCAGCTGAGAACCTTCACAGTTAAGATTGCAAATGAAACAGGTGATCTGACAAAACTACCAAAGGTCTACATGTTGTGTTTTAAGACTACGACAGCAGAGATTCTGGGCATCACCAAATGGCCTCCTAAGCATGCAGATTTAAGGATCCCCACGAGGCTGGCGCTGCGCTGTTGGGATCAGAGTACTGCTGGGAAGTTCCCCGCTGACCTGCTCAAAAGCATGCCGCATAATCAGCTGCACAGCTCTATGAGCAAGGTTAAGTGAGCAAAAGCTTGAAGCATCTTGAAGCCATTGCAACTTGATGAGACAACATGTGGGAAAAGGAAGAGAAAGGTCTGTGCCTCAAACGGGTTGGTCTGTGAGAGCCAGGCACAATGTGCTGCCTGTCGCAAGTCATGATCCTCAGCACAAGGAAATGCTTTCATCCTTGGAACTTCATGTGACTAAGATTCAAGAACTCCAATGGTCATTGTCATTGTCATTGCGTCGCGTCCTTTCCCAGCTCGCCCGCCCAGCCGCAAACCTTGCCACACTTTAACTCAGAATTGACTTCTCGGTCTTGTACTCACGCCTTTGAAGAGATGCTTTCGTATCTGGAGCCAAAGTCCTTGAGAAGGTTGGCTCTGGGACACTGGATCCAGAAACCTACCAATACATCTGCCAGGCACCGCATCCCTACAACGCAGACCTTCTCTCCAACTCTCCACTCTTCGGACCCTCCTCATAGGGTGCTGGCTCGCAAGAAATGAAGGGTGCCTGAGCTCCACAGATCTTGAACAGGGAAAATCAACGAGCTGCATCGCTCCTTTTCTCATCGTGGAAGGCAAAATCGAAAGAAATAGTCTGATTCAACATGATTGAAACAGTCAAAAGCAAGCAGCAAGTGATGTGCCCTTTTTCTCCCAGTGTGAAGCCCTGCGAGGCTCAGCAAGCTCACTTTGCGCAGGTATCAAACTTGGGAACGATAGGAATTGATCCATCGCTCTGCAACAGAACGATTTGGGTATGCACACCAAGCAAAGCATGGACGATTGTCAAGATACTCAAGGTCACGCTGGTTGTCAAATGCTTCCTGTTCTAGTCGGTTCCAAACATAGGAAAGCCTAGCGTCGCATTGACAGGCGCAGCTCTGATAGCCACGGCGCTGAACGCACATCAGGCCCTTGAAGAAGTCAAAGACCCATAAGAGATACATAAAAATGCAGCACATTTCCGTTGCCTGCATGATTCAGCACTTCAAATACAAAGTCAGTCACAACAAGCTCCCCGGCACATGGCACCTGAACAATGTGGATTTGCTCATGATTGATGAACCTCAGATGTCAGGGACATGAGTGACATGAGATTGTTCTTAAATTCAGGTGGAGATGCACATTCACATCTTGCGCCACTTGCTTTGCAGAGGGGCTCGTCGATGTTTTCCCCTTCAAGATCTTCGCGCGTCTCTCTGAGACATATAAATGGCCAAAGAGTAAATCCGCCCACTGGATAGAAGCACGAGAAGAACCTCAAAAACGCGAAGCAAAGCTAGGCAAGGCAGCAACTAACCCAGCCTGGGAACACGAGATCCATACAAGACCCATCCTGCGCGCAGACACAAGTCATCCCAATCTGTGCACATTGTGACTCATGTGTTCAAGGCCATAACCCTACCTCGGAACACCATACAGGACGTCGCACAATGGTTCGGCCCACAACGCTGGAGCCCATGGCAAGGCGGCAAGGCCAGGCTAACAAGGATCATTTCAATGAGGCCTCCATCTGTCCAATCAAACATATTAACCCAGTAGTCCACTGGTGCATGCAGATGCAGCAAGGGTTTTCGCTGTCTTCCAGAAAAGTCTGGCTGGTTCCAAGCAGCACAAGCTGAGCTTCCCACCCGAGAGGACTGCAATGGCTGGAAGTACCTCACAGCCAAACCATAGCAACAGGGAGTGCCAAAGTGGGGTGTGGTTCAACAGGCGCCGATTTCTGCAACTTTTTTCGGCCCAAAATTTTGAGGTCACGCAATTGGTGGCTGCGTGAAGAAAGATGACTCCATGGCATCAGTTAACTGAAGCAAACGGTAAAAGTGGTTTATGTTTGCGTGCTACGAAGGTCGTCTTCTGTGATGTGGATGGCAAATGTGCAAGCAGAATTCAAGCCGCTCTAGTCACACCATAGGACGAGATGAGCAAGCTTGAGAGAAGCTTCAAAGCGCGTGAGCGAGTGAGCATGAGTCCAAAGCCCTGCGCCTTGCAAATGCGTCCAAAGCATTTGGTTCGTGCCATTTGATCCGCCAGCAACGTGGAAATCAAATCGTTGTACAACAAATCGAAATCAAAGAAATCAAACTAGACTTGCGCATCTTGGCGCCAAGGTCACAAAACAGGTTTGCTGCAGGAATACCCAAATACATACCAAGAACAAACATGTTCCACTTCCAGTTCTGCTGCAGTGCACACTCCTGGGTCTACAGTCGATTGGGGAAAACAAAAATAGAGCTGTGTTCAGGCACCCACAGCAACCCCGCTTTGGAGCATTCCCTCTGCCCACATCATCCCCACTTTACCTGCAAGCTGCAAGACTGAGTTGTTGCAAAAAAGTGGTGCAGGTGTATATCTCACTCACCACTCATGCCTCGCCAAGAACCCTCACAGGTTCACCCGGCCGAAACATTGTCAACCTTAGAAAGCGAGATCCGACGCCGGACCCGAAGCGAGAGCCACAGGGAAACCCTGATCTTTAGATCCTTCTGCCTTCAGTCAGAGAATCCGTCCATCAAATACTCTCATCTGCACAACTAGCAATGTCTGGCAATTCAGAAATCCACAGGTCAAAGATGAAAGTCTGTGCCTGCAGTGTGTGTGCATTCCTCCAGTTCCATTTTGGGCCCCAGCCGCACTTGTCTCTTATCGAAATTCACCGACTTAATGTACACCATGACCTCTCAGCATCAAAGGTAATCATAGTCAGTTGAGTGGCGCTTCTGCCTCAAATCCTTTGGACAACACGTTGCACGCGTTCAGGTCAATGTCCATTGGGGATAGATATCCTCTGACCTTCGCCACTGAGAACATGACTAGCCATCACAACACAAAGCCCACACCTCACAGTTCACATCCACGAAGACACCATTCCCGGTCACATTTAAGACCTAGGCAATAGAAGTGTAGATTCTGGTCTAGCTTCAACACAGTGTCCTGGCATCTTGGAGGCACACAGTTCCACGTACAGCCACGGAGTTGTCGTCCAGTGCCAAGTCACTCAACTTCCTGCCACAAAACTCTCTGCCAGGTTCCAGTATGAAGCCAGCGGCTATCTCGCACACGGAAGTTTTTCTGACAGCAAGCAGCTTATATGCCTTCTTTCATCAACCTTCGCAGGTTCCTGCAGCTCACAACAAGCCCTCAGCCAATAACATTCATTCCAGCAGGACTTGCAGGGACAGCCAACTGGATGCAGTCAAGCTGGCAGTCCTTTGCTGTGCTGACCACACAGGTCTGCGTTCTCTTGTCCTTGGGCCAAAATCAAGCCCTTACTTTCTAGCACGGATATGGGTCCTACACAAGTCTTTGGTCCCCACCACCCGGAAGCAGTACACCTCGGCATTGAAAGGACAACACAACCCATGGCAAAACGAGGAATCAATTAACCAAAAGATCCACTTCAAGCTTTTGCACCTGGCCAAGACTACAGTGAAGTGTCACAAGCTTCGGGTCTGGACTCGAACTTCTTCTCCTCGTATGTGACGTCGGTCCGATTTGAGTAGACCTCGGTCCAACTCACCAAACAAAACAATATTAAACAATATCAAAAAACACACACGTACACACTGCTGCTGCTGCTGCTGCTGCTACTGCTACTGCTGCTACTGCTACTGCTGCTGCTACTGCTGCTACTACTGCTACTTCTGCTACTGCTGCTGCTACTGCTTCTGCACTGCTGCTACTGCTACTGCTGCCACTGCTGCTGCTACTGCTGCTGCTAATGCTTCTGCACTGCTGCTACTGCCACTGCTGCTACTGCTGCTGCTGCTACTGCTTCTGCACTGCTGCTACTGCTACTGCTGCTGCTACTGCTACTACTGCTGCTACTACTGCTACTTCTGCTACTGCTGCTGCTACTGCTTCTGCACTGCTGCTACTGCTGCTGCTACTGCTACTACTGCTGCTACTACTG